CATGCAGGTGGTGGGTGACATGCAGGTGGTGGGTGACATGCAGGTGGTGGGTGACATGCAGGTGGTGGGCTACATGCAGGTGGTGGGCTACATGCAGGTGGTGGGTGACATGCAGGTGGTGGGTGACATGCAGGTGGTGGGCTACATGCAGGTGGTGGGTGCAGGTGGTGGGTGACATGCAGTGGTGGGCTACATGCAGGTGGTGGGCTACATGCAGGTGGTGGGCTACATGCAGGTGACATGCAGGTGGTGGGTGACATGCAGGTGGTGGGTGACATGCAGGTGGTGGGCTACATGCAGGTGGTGGGCTACATGCAGGTGGTGGGCTACATGCAGGTGGTGGGCATGCAGGTGGTGGGTGACATGCAGGTGGTGGGTGACATGCAGGTGGTGGGCTACATGCAGGTGGTGGGTGACATGCACATGCAGGTGGTGGGTGACATGCAGGTGGTGGGCTACATGCAGGTGGTGGGCTACATGCAGGTGGTGGGTGACATGCAGGTGGTGGGCTACATGCAGGTGGTGGGTGACATGCAGGTGGTGGGCTACATGCAGGTGGTGGGCTACATGCAGGTGGTGGGCTACATGCAGGTGGTGGGTGACATGCAGGTGGTGGGCTACATGCAGGTGGTGGGCTACATGCAGGTGGTGGGTGACATGCAGGTGGTGGGTGACATGCAGGTGGTGGGCTACATGCAGGTGGTGGGCTACATGCAGGTGGTGGGTGACATGCAGGTGGTGGGTGACATGCAGGTGGTGGGTGACATGCAGGTGGTGGGCTACATGCAGGTGGTGGGCTACATGCAGGTGGTGGGTGACATGCAGGTGGTGGGCATGCACATGCAGGTGGTGGGCTACATGCAGGTGGTGGGTGACATGCAGGTGGTGGGTGACATGCAGGTGGTGGGCTACATGCAGGTGGTGGGTGACATGCAGGTGGTGGGTGACATGCAGGTGGTGGGTGACATGCAGGTGGTGGGTGACATGCAGGTGGTGGGTGACATGCAGGTGGTGGGTGACATGCAGGTGGTGGGTGACATGCAGGTGGTGGGTGACATGCAGGTGGTGGGTGACATGCAGGTGGTGGGCTACATGCAGGTGGTGGGCTACATGCAGGTGGTGGGTGACATGCAGGTGGTGGGTGACATGCAGGTGGTGGGTGACATGCAGGTGGTGGGTGACATGCAGGTGGTGGGCTACATGCAGGTGGTGGGTGACATGCAGGTGGTGGGTGACATGCAGGTGGTGGGTGACATGCAGGTGGTGGGTGACATGCAGGTGGTGGGTGACATGCAGGTGGTGGGCTACATGCAGGTGGTGGGCTACATGCAGGTGGTGGGTGACATGCAGGTGGTGGGTGACATGCAGGTGGTGGGTGACATGCAGGTGGTGGGTGACATGCAGGTGGTGGGCTACATGCAGGTGGTGGGTGACATGCAGGTGGTGGGTGACATGCAGGTGGTGGGTGACATGCAGGTGGGGGGTGACATGCAGGTGGTGGGCTACATGCAGGTGGTGGGCTACATGCAGGTGGTGGGTGACATGCAGGTGGTGGGTGACATGCAGGTGGTGGGCTACATGCAGGTGGTGGGTGACATGCAGGTGGTGGGCTACATGCAGGTGGTGGGCTACATGCAGGTGGTGGGTGACATGCAGGTGGTGGGCTACATGCAGGTGGTGGGCTACATGCAGGTGGTGGGCTACATGCAGGTGGTGGGCTACATGCAGGTGGTGGGCTACATGCAGGTGGTGGGTGACATGCAGGTGGTGGGTGACATGCAGGTGGTGGGCTACATGCAGGTGGTGGGCTACATGCAGGTGGTGGGTGACATGCAGGTGGTGGGTACATGCAGGTGGTGGGCTACATGCAGGTGGTGGGCTACATGCAGGTGGTGGGCATGCAGGTGGTGGGCACATGCAGGTGGTGGGCTACATGCAGGTGGTGGGTGACATGCAGGTGGTGGG